GGGGCTGTACCTGTTCTGGATGGATTGGTGCTCGCAGCCGCTGTGCCCCACGATCTGGGTGATGTTCTTGGCCTCGCACCAAGCGCTCTTGTCCGGGAAGAGGGCGAGCTTGTTTATGGGGGGCGGTGCGGCCAGAAGCAGCGCCGGGAAGAGGGCACCGACCATGAACCGTAGCATCATGGCCAGCTCTGCCAAAATCCTGCAACTGGAGACAGAGAGCAAAGCGTCAGCGCGAGAGGAAACAGGCAAGCCAGTCCATTTCTGGTTCTTGGCTGTGACGAGCACAGGTACAAGCTCCCGGTGAGTTGGGGCTTACGTCTCCTTCCAGAGCCACTGCTGGGGCCAGGAAAGTTCCCCGAAACGCCGGGCAGGGAGTGGGACATGCTGCTCTGCCTCCTCCCTCTTCAAAACAAGCTCTGGGGCAGGCAGACACCTGCGGTACTGCTCCCCAGCTTTGTGCCAGGAGCAACAGCACGCTTTTCATCCTTTCCCACCCAAAGCTGGGCCGGGAGATGTTTGCAAAACAAAAGCGTCGCTGCCACGGGCCGAGCCAGGCTGGAGAAGTGTCGGAGCGCAGAAATGTTTTTCTTTGAGGAAGGAGCAGACTTTCCCACTTCCTTTTTTCCGCACCTTAAAAGCCCAAGCTGGCCTGGCTACAAGCTCTCCCCAACGAGAAGGGACGCCTTTCCCGGAAAGGAGAGCTGCTCTCCTCCGGGAAGCGCGCAGCAGGTGTCGCTGCAAGGCAGCAGCAAGAAGGGACACGTGGAAACCTCAATCCAGAGGCTAGAAACCCACAGAAGAGACAAATACAGCATTTATTTGTTTTTTATGGAGCCACTCAAATTCAGAAAGCAGTTACTCCAAGGACGGGCACTGGGTCTGCGGGACAAGGAGGGTCCTTTTAACACGAAGCAGAAATCTTGCTGGCAAAGGCAGTCGGCCGAGAAGGTTCCTTACGCCCTCCGAGAAATCCCACGCAGGGTTTCCTTGCGGGCCGGCTGTGTTCTCCAGCCAAGGTGCCTGCATTAACACTCCCAATCACTGGGGAAAGGCAGATGGAAAAGCATCACAGAAACAGGGAAAAATTTTTTCCCTTTGTGAGGTTTGGATGGAGTCATAGAGAAAAGCAGACATTTATACTTTCTGAAATATTTGTTAGAGCCCTGTTATTTGTTATTTCCTTCTATTTATTTATCCAGACAAAGATCCAAAGCCCACACTGGAAAGACTGCTGTTGATTCTCGTGGCTCCTGAGCCCAGCCCTCAATCACTCGCTGGGGAAGGAGAGGAAAAACGCCTTGTTTATCAGACACCAGTGTCCGAGGCAGCTCTGCCCTGGGGACTCCCAGCCGGGCGTTCCCCTGGTCACTCCGTCCATCTGCACGATCTTCACCAACACCTCCTCAGCTGGAGGACCACCATGTTTATCTAAAGAGTGAGACTACTAAACATTTCTCACAGCTCTCACGGGGCAAGAGGGTTTTGCCCTGTTACCCCCCAGCTCAGCCCAACCTCCTGGAGGGGATTCAAGAGGTGTTTCCCCATCCTCGATCCCAAGGTAGCCAGAAAAGGGCATCCTCCTTCCCCGGCCCCGGGATCTCTGGAGGTATCAGGTGAGGTTTCTGCTAAATTTTCTTATTTCCTGGTGACACGGGAGCCACAATGGCACGACGCAGTGACACCTTTATAGTCCTGGCTTCCTAATCCTCCCAGCGCTTCTTCACGCAAATGCCACGGGTCCCCAGGGAGAATCCTGACACAAAGCAAGGTTTGCAGGTTTGGTTTGAGGCAAGCAGAGGGCTTTAGCCCCTGAACTTGCACTGCTGTTAATGAGAGCAGTGATGTTAAACACATTTGCCCTAAAGACAATGCTTGGAGCTTACTTCTGCTCCCTGAATTCTTTTTCCGTTCCAGAGGGGGAATTCTGCGATTCCCACTGAGAAGATCATGGCGAAGCCGCACACAAACACGCTTGGTTTGCTTGGTTTCTGAAACCAGCATCATTCATTCCTCACATGCCAGCTGCTCTGTGCCGAGGAATCCCGCTGCCAAGGGCAAGTCCAAGATCAGAGCCCCGATGTGACCCAAAGAGCAATCACAACCCCCCCCGGGCAACAGCCGAAATTCCTCTGGAGTCAGCACACAAGTTCACTTCCACATGTCTGACCAGAGAGCAATTTCCTTCTTTCCAAAGAAAGGTGGTGGCTGTTTTTTTTCCCAGGTTTCTATGCATCTCGACCCAGCAGCAAAGAAGCAAATATTTCTGCCAGCACTGACAGCCTTGCTTCCCTGGGACCGTTTGGATTTTTTTTTTTCCCTGGAGGAAGGTGTTCAGCAGAGAGGTGTTCTGCAGTGCTGGTCTGAGCAGAGCCATTGCCAGAGGCAGGAAGGATCATCTCCGAGCATCTGGTCTCCCGTCTCGCTCCGATACCCAGAGGAAGATGAGTGAGGTTGCGCTTTGCTAAAGCACAGGCCCTGGCCTGGATTCAGAAAAGCACTTAAACAGATGCTTAAGCCCTCGCCTTTCCTAAGCAGGAAGGTCTTTGCAACCAGAGCCCCCAGCAGCACAGCCACTGGTCCAGTTTGCAGAGGGACGGCGGGTGGGGAGGGGAACTGGGCACCTCTGCAGAGCTGGAGCAACCACAGCTCCAGCCCAACTCGTCAGGGCACACGGGTGCTGAGCTCTGCTCCCCACCTCTCATTTTAAGCCTCCAACGGGCCACATCCACATGGTGTTTTCCCCCTCCGAGAATGCCCTAGAATCCACCGGGGCACATTTCTAGGAAGTAACAAGGTTCATGCCAGTGCCCCGGAAAATATCTGATGCATCTGTGTTTTGGAGGGAGCCGGGGCTGGGTGCAGCCCGCTCACCACTGCGGCGTGTTGGCCGGCAGAGTTCGAACCAGTCATGCGAACAGAACTGCCACAAAACCATCCATCTGACAGCAGCCACCGGCTGGGAGACAAAAGCACCGTGTTCCTTCTCCCCTCCCCAGCTGGGAAGGGAAGGGAAAAAGGAAGACGAGGCACCCGGGCAGGTTTGCAAACTCCCGATTAAAGAAAGGCATTGAGCACATTCCTCCGTGACAAGCTAAATTACACGTTGCAGCCCCTAAAGGAACAAGTGTGTGCTCCCCGGCGCTGACCCCGGCCCCGGCCTGCACTTCCCCGCACACAGGGGCTTCTTTCTCTTCTCCACACCAGGGCTCTTTTTTTTTCTTCCCTGCTAGTCAAAGCTTTTCAAGCAGAAAGTTCAGCTCAGTTCCGGCAGACCCATCAGCCTGTGAAGGTCTCCCCCCTTTCCACTTTGGGCTGCCAGCCCAGAAAGTGCTGCTGGCTTCTTCAGGGAAAATTTTGCAGCTGGTGTTACATGGAATGTGGTGAGATGGCTCTAGAGGTGGCTTCTGCATTTCAGTCTCCTGAGATGTGTGACTACTCTGGGCATTTAGACTCACAGAATCATGGAATGTTAGGGGTTGGAAGAGGCCTCTGAAGATCTAGTCCAACCCTCCTGCTCTAGGGCAGGATCACCTATAGTAGGTCACATAGGAACATGTCCAGATAGGTTTTGAAGGTGTCCGGAGATGGAGACTTCAGCCTCTCTGGGCAGCCTGTTCCAGTGCTCCGTCACCCTCACAGGAAAGAATTATTTCCTTATGTTTAGGTTGAACCTCCTGTTTTCCACTCTGTGACCACTGCCTCTTCTCCTGTCACTGGACACCACTGAGAAGAGCCTGGCCCCCTCAAACCCACCCTTTCAATATTCAAAAGTGTTCTCCAACCTGTCGCCGTGCCCAGGCTGCTAAGGGGCAAAATATCTGCACCTGGTGGTTCTCAGCTGCCCCAGCTCAGCATCCCTGGAGGCCCCAGGAGCAGAGTTCGGCAGGAGTCCTGCTGCCGGCTGGCACCGTGAGCCCAGTTTTGAGATCTGGTGGTGGCACACTCAGATGGTTTGTGTCACCTAGAAGAGCTTCTTCCTCCTGTGCCAGCAGTCCCGAGGACTTTTCGGAGTCCCCGCAAGCAGGACAGTCCCCGCCAATGCCTGGAAGCAGCTGGGAAAATCTACATTGTTACATGGGCTGGAGGACAATCGCGGGAATTACCTCGGAGGCCACGTTCCCACCATGCAGCCCACAGCTGTTCTCGGCCGTTTGGAAGCCAAACGCTTCTGGAGGAAAATAAAACAAGATCTAATCAGTTTTACCCACTTTTTCCAGGGGGAAGTTTACACCATGATACAGGACAAGCCTGCAGGTGGACGCGGAGAACGTTTCATGAGTAGTCTAATATATTTATAGGTATTTTTCTTATCCACAATCTTGTAATTTTGCCAAATACATAAAACCACAGGCCCAGGTATGTTGTGCTCACGGCCACACACGCAGCATCCCGGGTTCTGAGAGACAAGAAACCCGAGGCTTTACAAACACTGCTTAGCCAAAGCTCAGAGCCTGTGAACAGCACAGAAACAGTGTGAGCTCCACGTTGTCACTAAGAAAATCGAGGCACAAAGCTGGGAAACGGCCTCACCTCAGTGTCTGCATCAGTGATTCAGGCCCTGGGGCGAGATGCACGAGATGGACAAGGAGAAGGTTTCACCTCCACCTTCCTCTCCTGCCTCTCCTGCCCAGCGGAACTGACTGGCTCTCAAGCTACACGGCGCTAGGATGCCAACAGCAACCCCAAGCCGGTGTTAGACGTGAATCCCAGCGGTGCTGTGCCCTGCCTTCACCTTCTACTAGTTGTCTGTGCCATTTTGCTGAGCAAAGCTGCTGTACAGCGCTGCCGGGAGAAGACGAGGCCCCGGAGACAAGCTGCTGAGTGTCCTGCTCTGTGCCTCAGTTTCCCTGCTTGCTAAGACCAGAGACAAGGATGCTGAATGAGCTGCTGGGTGCAGAGAGAGTGGAAAAGAGCGGGGCGGTCTTTGGAGCGCCAGAATCCCTTCGAGGGAAGAGGCTGCCTGGGGCAGGAGGGGAGGGATGGCTGCCAACAGCCCTTGCCCCCCACGACGCAGGGTGCGCTCCTCAACGGGAAGGTGCTCCAGGTGAAAGGCGCGGGGCCACGCAGGTGGGAGTCACACGAGGACACCGTGCTGCAGGGCAGGGCTGGGTGGCCGCCCGGAGAAGAAAAAGCTCTCCAAGGCCGCGGGTGGGATCATTCCCACACGTGGAGGCGGCCGGGAGCGATCTCGTCGCAGG